TTCTGGTGACTTTTTACTTTTACTCCACTACATTTCAAAGTCAAATATCTCACTTTTTACTCCACCACATTATACATTATGCGAAATCTGTCGTTCCTTTTGGCTTATGTGTGTATAAAAACGAAAGAAGCGCAAAGCAAGAACACCAATCAGGGCACAGCGCACACTTTGTTTTGAGCTTGTTTTGACCTGTTGGACTTACCGACCCAGTGCAAGCATACAGTTCAACGACAGTGCAGCAGCGTAAAATTCTGGGAGAGTCTATTCAACATAAATGATGGAACTAACCTAACTTTGTGTAAATAGACCACAATATAGAAATATGGCTAGTTCATGTTTACAGATGCAATACAGTAAAGGAAAACTCATTTGCGAACCTGAGTTTAAAGCAAGTTTTTATTAAACTTGTTTTATTAAAGCTAATTTTCATTTTAACTAAGTTGCAAATAAATCTTAAACTGAAACTTTGCTCGTTCACAAAAGGTTATTTTAGAGCTACTCAGTTCTACCGAATGGAAACTGTTTGCCTTCAGTGTTTTGTGCTTATGATAATTTAATAGACATCAGCGTCACTAATTAATGACATTCTATTAAAAGACTGGTTTGCCAAGAGTGACACTGGAGTATTCTCACCTAAAATGAGTTAATGAAGCAGAGTCTTCTCACAAAAACGGTAATTAGACATCAGAGTCATAATTAATCTTTTAGTACTTTTACTTTTGATACTTAAGTACATTTGAAGGTAAATACTTTTGTACTTTTACTCAAGTGGAGGTCTAAAGGGAGGAACTTCTACTTTTACTGGAGTAATAATTTACCTTGGGTATCTCTACTTTAACTCAAGTACATGGTTTGTGTACTTCGTCCACCACTGGTGCTTAAAAGAAACCATGTAACGCATTAGTGCTGTAGTCTAAACCCAGACTCCACTGAAAGTATTCTTACTTCAGTGACACAATGGTCTAAGTAATAGGACCTTTCCAAAACAGTACTCGTCGTATGCAACAATTTGAAGTCAAATGACTTTATTTTGCTAAGTAAAAATACGTTAACCCTTAACACTTAATCCTCTACAGCCAACTTAAATATGGCACTTTCCTGGAAACGTCGGTGTACAATTTCTATTTTATTGCTGAGTTAAAAATACTGAAAAATGTGAAAAACAATTCTGAATCATACCGAAATAATCAAATCCTTCGGAAAAAAGAAGCACTGATTCATTTTCTTAAGAAATCTAATGTAATCAAATCAACGTGAGGCTAGAAATTACTAATCATATTCCTAACAGTTGGAAATCAATGATTTTACCCGATTGTTTAGCTGGAATAGGTCTTTGAATCCTGAAGGGCTCAGTACCTACAGTCATATGCAAGAGTCCCCGATCACGTTTGAAGAGAAGACATCCTCTACAGAGAACCTAAATATGACACTTTCAGCAAAGTTTAGAGCACAACTGCAATTTATTTGCTGAGTTTAACACGTTGGAAAAAACTACTTGCATTTATTTAACAATATCGGCTGCTAGAATTACTGTATCAACCAAATACTGTATTCCTTTGCTGCTCTGGTTGCCACCTCAGTGACTGCTGTGCTCATATATGCTAGGCTATCTGCTAATCTGCAGTCATAGTATGTTACATCCTCCTTTGCACGGCTCCACATACTCTCAGTACCGCGTGCTGCCTGTGCTCTGTTCTGTATTTACTGTACTGTATTGTCCGCACTGTGTTTATTGTATTGTTTTGGACTTGTGTTCCTGTGTTGGTCCTGGAGGAATGTTGTTTCTTTTCACTGTGTACTTATATACAGTCGAAATGACAATAAAGCCTCTTGAACTTGAAAATAAAACATGAAATGTGCCCCAAACTTTGCAGGTCACGTTTTATGTTTTCCCCCAATATGTTAAACTCAACAAATAAACACTAATCGTTCACTAGAATGTGCAGATGTTAAGCAACGACTTTGACAGCTGGAGGAGACGCTCAAGACATTTGAACGTTTTTACTTCTTACTTTGCCACAAACAGAAAATGGACACTTTTAAGATCACATTTGACCGACAGCCGATTTGGTCAGACTCTGAAGATGAGACGACACTAAATTCCCAAACTGTCATCATCACTGAGCAGCTTTTCAGTCGGCAGCTGTGACACAAGAACCTAAACAACCTGGAATCAGCCAGAAATGAACCCAACACCATTCGCCAAACAAAATGGGCTGTAAGATGCTTTACAGACTGGCTGGAACAAAACAACATTAATACTGATCTGGCAAAAACTGACAAAACTGAGCTGAACTTGATATTGCAGCAGTTTTATGGCTCAGTTTGTACTTCAGAAGGCGAGTCTTACAGCAGACAGAGCAGCGAGTGAGTGGAGTCTGTTACTCGGACGTAGCAACAAGCTGCTTGTTAAGGAACTATAATTTGGCTGAAGGAGCTGCGAACATTAAAACATATTAAACGCCGCGTTCATGACCCAGTTTATTAATTTATTACTTTATTTATTCAGCTGCTGTATAAAAGCAATAGAACACTTGAGGTTGTGTGTTATCACCAATACCATCATGATGTTATTTCGCAATAACACACTCCCTCTCGTGTTCTATTGCTTAACTGGAAAATCAACAAAACTTTATTTGAGCAGGGGCGCCCAAATTTTTGCATACTTTGTAGAGGCATTAACATAGAATCTTAAGTACCAAGTAACTATAAAACTGTAGTAGAACCGCTTAGTCCATCTTACAGCACAGAAACTGGCCTAAAACAAGAGTTTAATATGTTATATGCTGTGTTATGCAGCCTTCTGTAGTGCAGCATTACATCCCTCAGCCTGAACGGCTCCACAGAATCCATGATTTTATAGCAGTCTCATGTTTGTGTTCATCACTGTTCTGTCACTACAAATCCCAGCATGCATCAGGCAAATGCATCATACAACTATTAAGAATCCTTGTGGTGCCAACCAATCCTGACTGCTAGCCTAGCCACTGATCTGCACGCTAATGAATACAACCAGGCTAGCACTACACTCTTAAAAAATATGGTTCTTCAAGGGTTCTTCAGTAAAGAAAATCATTCTATCTAGAACCATGAACACTTAAAGAACCCTAACTTTTAATTAGTACAGAACCTTTACATAATGTGAAGGTTCCTACAACCTTTAAAAGGTTCACACTCAACAAATCCTTTTTCAAACATGGTTCTGTTTTTTTAAAGTGTGGTTCTATACCAATTTAAGGGTTCTTCCTAGAACCTTTACATTATGTGGTATTTCTTCCGACTCTTTAAACCTCTTATTTATAAAAGTGGCTATTCAAAGAACGAGCCAAACCAGAAAGGTTCTTCAGGCAACCTGTAACTACACGCTTAAAAAAGATGGTTCTTTAGTAAAATGAAGGGTTCTATTTAGAACCATGAGTTCTATGTAGAACCATTTCATGCTGAAGGGGTCTTTGCATCTTTGAAATGGTTTTTCAGACTGATGGAGAACATGCTGTAGATGGTTCTACATAGAACTTTTATGGAAAGCGTTCTATAAAAGGTTCACACTCAACAAATGTCTTTTCTCAAACATAGTTTTAAGTGTGGTTCTATACCAATTTAAGGGTTCTTCCTAGAACCTTTATATTATGTGGAATTTCTTCCAATTCTTTAACCTCTTATTTATAGAAGTGGTTATTCAAAGAACCAGCCAAACCAGAAAGGTTCTTCAGGGAACCTGTGACTAACCTGTGACTAGATGATTTATTTTGGCTGGAGTGTCATGCAAAGTTTTTAAGGCTCCATTTTTCCATTTTGAGGATCTTTTTGGTCTAAACTGAACCGACTAACCTCAGAAGTCAGAGGTGTGTCCAGCCGCAAAGCAGTACAGACACTGTGACCAATGAAACATGAAGAAATTAAACCCAAAAGGAAACAGTACCTAATGTCTATGTTAATGTCTAAATCTAGCTAGCAGATTTTAGTATCTAGAACACTAGAACACCTTCCTCACAAACTGAGTAGAAGTATTACTCCTTGAAAATAGAAGAACCACTACTGGTTCCCTAAAGAACCATGGTTGAAATAGAATGTGCGAGTGTGAACTGTCCAGGTGCCAAAACAGGTTCTTTAGATGTTCACAAGAATCACTTTTGGTTTCCTGAGGAACCTTTCAGTGGAAGGTTCTTTAGAGAACTGCTTTTACAAATGAGATTTAAACCCTTCTTCACATGATATAAAGGGTTCTAGGAAGAACCCTTTAATTAGCTTCGAACTTTTACATAATGTGATGGTTCTCAGAACCTTTAAAAGGTTCACACTCAACAAATCTCTCTTTTCAAACGTGGTTCCTGTACCAATGTAAGGGTTGTTGTGCTGTATATGGTTCTGTATAGAACCTTTCTGTAACAATAGACAAACCTTTTCGGGTGCTATATAGAACCCTTTCCAAAAATTCTACACAGAACCATTTAAATAGCACATTCATGCAAATTTTCCAGCAATCTGAAGAACCCTTCCATGATGCAAAGAACCCTTTAATCATGCAAAGGGTTCTTTAGATGTTCAAGGTTCTGCATATCTTTACTGAAGAACTCTTGAAGAACCAAAACCTTTTTGAAAATGGTTCTATACAGCACCAAAAGGGTTCTTTCATGGTTTCAAGCTGACATAGTAACAGCAGCAGAACCTTTTATGGTGCTATAGAACCACATACAACACGTTCTCCACCAATCTGAAAAAGTATCTATTTATCTATGTATGCAAAGAAACTTTTAAGCATGAAATGATATAGAAATCATGGTTCTAAGCAGAGTCACCTTTACTAAAGAACCCTTGAAGAACCCTGTTTTAGTGGCTGGTTACAGAGTAGCGCTAACATCACTGAGGCTAATGAATGATGAGGTAATCGTTCGTCTGAACGAGTGGAAAAAAAATACAAGACCATTTTTTTCCACTTTTATGAGGAAACATATGGCAGCTCATTTCTCATAATCATGACACATGAAGCGCGAACAAACCTGAGCGCAGCTGGATTTCCATCAGCTTTCAGTCAGAAACTTCTGAAAAGTGACTCAAACCAGACAGATTTCAGTAAACGCTCCACTGGAGAAGAGTACCCGGGCTGATCCTCGTCCGCCCGCTGCCGTCAAAGCGAGCCTGAGCGCGGGCACAACGCGGTCGAGCACCGCGGTGGGAAAAAAAGCACCTCCAGCGCTCCGCCCTCGCTCTGACCTCACTCCGCCGCCGAACGCCCGCTGTATGAGGGCGGCCCTGCGGTGGGAAAGCACTTCCTGACAGAAACCGCGCCTCCTGCTATACTCGGACACGACACATCTGGCGCTTAAAAACGCCACCAGCTGCCTACAAACTGCAGAGCCAACCGGGAAATGTCAATCTTACTTTGTGCCAAATGCAAAGCACCACAACAGTTCTTCAAGAAGATCTAGTGCAGCTGAACGTTTGAACTGAGCGCCATCTAGTGGACACTGCAGGGTGTCGAGCAGCAGCCACTGGCCCAAACCATCTTAAAGTCTGCATAATTCAATCACTGAGACATGAACAAAGTCTTTCAGTGAGTTGTGACATGAAATGGTTCATTGTAGAAAACCCTACAGTCCCAGTGGTGGTGATAGAAACCATGTCTCCGACACAAATACAACAATTTTATCATCCAAAATGACCAGTGATACTTTTAATTTGTAACGTTGATGGTAAAATAGTGATACATCTGAAAAAATGTTTTCTTTGCGGGCTATTTTGCCTTACAATGTCCTGCATGTACCCCTTTATCATGAGTGATTTTTAAATATTATGTTCACGAAACTACCATAAAGCAATCCCGTCGGCACCAGGCAGCGTATTGGTAGCCACTTAGTGGAACAGCCTTCTGTGAAACATCTTTTAGAGGCATTGAACTCTTCAGACGCCTGGTTCCTAACACCACCACTGTGAACAATTCTGACTCTGGGTTTGTCTAGATTTCACATCAAACCACTCTGAATGACTTTGAAATGGAATCTTTTAATTATGCAGAAGTTTTGAAAAATCAGTTTAAGTTCATTTCGGCTACAAAGGGGAGTTACACCAATTTTTCAAAATTTCTACATAAATCAGTCATTGAGATGCAAACTACGTCATTCAGAGTGGTTCAGTGCGAAATGGATCACTGTAGAGAAACGTTAGGATTTCTTTACAGTGATCATGATAGGAACCAGACGCTTCCACACAGGAAGTTATTACATGAAATAGGAATAGGCTGCCCTTATTTTAAGAAGGTTTTGGCCTAAAACATATTTTTACGATGCCTTAATGGCAGAAATATAAGCGAAATAAAAACAGCAGCAACCTCCAGTTGAACAGGATAGAGCTCTTAATGATTCTAACTGATTTACTGCCACCGTCGTTCTCACTGCAGGTCTGTCCTGAGGAGTTCTGTCACAGCTTTTCCTTCATTTGACGGAGGAAGCAGTGTTTAGAGACGACTGAGACAGGCGGAGAGGCCCGTCGATCATAATTTTGCAAATGATCAATTCAGATTACAAGCAAAATGCTGCTCAATGACAAGTTAAATGAATAAACAGATGCAAATTAAATTGCATCTAAACATCTGCTTCTCCGCTGTGTTGGTCAGACAGCTGTGAACAAACCCAGACACTCTGGTCCTCCCCTATATTTGGGGTAAGAGGCCGCAGCTAAGTCTGAGCATCATTACGGCCCTTGTTGAAGACCACGGTAAGGGCGCATAGAGGGGGCTTGTGGGCACTAGTGATGGCCGCTTCAGCTCTGTTCAGTGAGTCAGATCTATCTTCATTTAGTATCACTGTCAGGTTTTTTTCCTCACAATTAACAAAGATAATATCTATCTGTGGGGGGAGATCCAGGAGGTGGGGGGTCCTGTGATTTTCAGCTAGAGCATCATAAGATTTACCCATTTGTCCTGTCTTTATTTGCAAAATAAGAAAAAAAGGTTCTCCGAAGCAAGCCTTTGGCAAAGTTACCTAAAAGAGACGACCCGCAAAAGACACACCAAACAGCAAAGTGAGAAACTGGACACCCTAAAACCTCACAGACCTTGTAGATACGCCCAAGGTGGACTGCAGGACCACAAGTGGTGGCATTTGGGACAAATTAAGAGTGGAGAAAAACACGAAATGTGCAGAGGATGGAGTCCCCACTGCACCAAAGTCACACAAACATTGTCTTTTGTTGTGTTTGTAGACTTTATTATGAATGAACAAAATAGGATTTCCTATTTTTAGCAGTTTATCGATTTATAAACTGATGTTCATCATATTTCAAAATGAAACAGTTAAGTTTAAGAAAACAGGAATCATGATGTCCCGCTTAATAATCCCCTAATGCTCTTCAGCAATGATCAAACTAGCATGATATCAACAGGGCACAAAAACAGGGAATTCCCTCGATTTTTTTTAACTTTCTGCATAAATAAATTGTTAAGATGTAAACAAACTTGATCAGTGTGGTCTAAGGAGGATTGGTTCATTGTGGAGAAATGAACCGAATCTTCAGATCTTCACATTTTGATGTCTTGACAGTGGTGGGGATAGGAACCACAGGTCATGACATCTACAGCACAAATATAGCCATTTAATTTACTATCTGAAACCATCAGTGAACCTACATATGTCTTCTAAGCTTTTGTATGCAATGCTGATGATGGTAAATCTGGGGAAAAAAAAAAAAAAAAACGTTTTCTTTGGGGACTATTTTGGCTTGCGTGTTCTCTTCGCCATGCATACATTTAAAAGGGCAACATCTTCATCTAACTATTATAAAACAATGTCTCAGGCATCAGGCAAAGTATTCACAATCATTTTATATAATAACTTTGCATGAGGGAGCTTTTAGCAGCACTAAACTCTGCAGACATCTGGTTCCTATCACCACCACTGTGACACATTTTGACAACTTTGCTTACATCTTAACCATTTCATTACAGAGAAAATGTGAAACATCAATGGAATTTCCCTTCAAAGCTGATGTTCAGAGAGTTTTGTTCAGCTCAAGTAACGCAGTGATGCAAGATTCCTTTTCGGTTTGCTTTCTCTATCGGCAATGCCATGATTAAAAACATTAAAAAAACACAAGCCTGTACATAAAAGGATGAATACACTGAAGTCTATGTTGTCCAACCTCAGCACTGTCCATGCCCTGCAGAAGCTGAGGACGATGATGAGGAGGAGGAGGAGGAGGAAGAAGCTGCTGCTGCTGTTGCTGCTGCTGCAGCTGATGATGATGATGATGCTGAAGGTTCATGAAAAGAGCTCACGTCTTCCTCATTGGCTCCGCAGGTGTCCACCACACAGATGAGGCAGCTGGTGACAGGAAAGGCGCGCTCTTTGCTAGAGGTCACCCATTTGTCTGTCTCTGTGTGGTACTCCATGATGTGCCCCAAGCGGCCCACTCCCTGGAAGCCGGCCAGCACATAAATGACTGAACCCACCGCCGCACATTTAACGGTGACTCCTCTCCACGGCATCGGCGAAGCCATTTTCCACTCGTTACTGCCTATCTCGTAATACTCCACCGAGTCCAGACCACCTGTAGGATCAGGTAGTCCATGATTAGTGCTTCTGACTGATGGAGAACCACAATGGACATAATGGTGCTTCCCCACCGGACAGTACAGTAAGGCGCAGAATGATAACAAGGGGTGGACAAAAGGCACAAATATAATATCATGATAGGTGAAGATACACTATATGGCCAAAAGTATGTGGACACCCCTCCCAATTATTGAGTTAAAGTGTGTTTCAGACACACTCATTGCTAACAGCTGGATAAAATTAAGCACATAGCCTTGCAGTCTAAATAGACAAACACTGGAATGGGTTGTACTGATGAGCTCAGTGACTTTAAACATGGCTCTGTCATTTGCCACAAGTCAGTTCATGACATTTCTGCCCTGCTAGATCTGCCCCGAGCAACTGTAAGTGCTATCATTGTGAAACAGAAGCGTCTAGGAGAAACAACAGCTCAGCCATGAAGCGGGAGACCACGCAAACTCACAGAGCCGGGTTGCTGAGTGCCAAAACAAATAGTGTAAAATTTGCTGATCCTCTGTTGCATCACTCCCCAAACTGCCTCTGGAAGCACAAGAACTGTGTCAGGAGCTTCACAAAATGGGTTTCTGAGGCCAAGCAGCTGCAGCTGTGTAAAGCATTCTGCCTTTGGAGCAGTGAAAACATGTTCTCTGGAGTGATGAATCATGCGTCACTATCTGGCAGTCAGATGGATGAACTGGGGCTGGTTTTCAGCGTGACTGTGCCCATGTGCACAAAACGAGCTCCATAATGGTGTGGAGGAACTCCGGTGTCCTGACCATAACCCCACTGAACACCTTTGGGATAAACTGGAACACTAATTACAAGCCAGGCCTTTTCATCCAACATCAGTGTCTGACTTCACAAATACTCTTTTGACTGAATGGTCACAAATTCCCCACAGACACTCTCCAACATCTTATGAAAAGCTGCTATAGCTGCAAAGTGGGACCAACTCCATATTAATGCTTTGGAATGGAAATACAAGAGGCTCATATTGGTGTGGTGGTTAGGTGTCCGCATACTTTTGGCCATGTAGCGTTACATTACAGTGGTGCTACGTACTAGAAAAACTATGCAAAACTGAAAACAAGGACATTTTATTCAACATTTCACATGCTGGACTAAATCCAACTGAACAGGACTAATTACTCTCTCTTCATAATAAAACATGCAGTTGGTCAGTGTTAACTAATCTTCATGATATGCTCAGTAAGTAATGTAATATGATGTAATTTGTCATAAATACTGTCATATTGCACCGGCGTATGTGCAAGTGCTCTGAAGCATCAAAGATTATGGCAAACTAAATCAAACAGCCAACCACAGCATTCACCTGTTTTTTTAGTACCATTTCACTGACAGACTACATTCCACCATTACTGAGCCTTGCAGTGAACTCAACGGTGCTGCTAATTCACAGAATCTCTCCTTTTTTAATTCTGCATTCAAGTTATTGATGTTTCTGCAGTGAGAAAACGTACCAAGGCCATTCTGTCCGCCCACAGCATAGATCCTTGAATTGACCACTACCAGGCCGTGGTTCTTCCTGGCTTCCCTCATACCGCACAGCACTCTCCATCTGGGCTCACAGAGAACAAGCATGTTAAAGATACACTGAAACTAAATAAAGAATCTGACTGATGATGTATAATTATATGAAAGTGATTTCCACCCCAAGGCCTCGTTCAAGGATTTAGCACCATCAAAACTACCTCCCTGTCCTGCTCAGTTTCAACTATTTCTTGTATGAATTTATAATAAATACATTGAAACCTAAGTAAATCTAAAGCTGTAGTGTTCCATATGAAAAGTTTTATTGCAAAATCTTGTTTTATTGTTTATCTGTTTGTAATAATTTTTGATATAATGAGTTTTTGAAAAGAATAACAGCTGACATACAATAAAAAAAGTATTCCTCTAATAAAAATGTATTATATATCATAACTAAGCAGCGATATATCTTGTGTATCCTGCGTAAAGCCCACTCCCAACAACGTATATCATGAAAAAAAAAAAATCTTGAAAGTGATCTATAATATGTTTTGGAACTGCTAAAATGGATCTAAAATGAATGAACAGGATGAAATGTATTGTAATTTAAGCTACTTTTGCAAACAACAAACAAATAAGACCCCTTTTAAATAAACAAATGATAAATGAATAAATAAATAAACAAGCGCGCATCTTTTTACATAATCCCCAGGGGGTGGATGAAAGTACAATACTTCTGTCCTTCTGTCCTTAAATAAACGTAGAAATATTCTTGGTAAAATATCTCTCAAACAAACTGAAACAAACTCAAACAGCTGACCGAAGGTGTTCAATTAATGAATTAGATGTGTTAGATTAGGGGAAACACAGTAGTGTCCAGATTCTGGGTTCCTCAGAAATCTACCAGCACATGCAATGACTACACAAGAGGGGGCTTACTCCTCTGTGTTGGGGTCATACACCTCGCAGTTGTTCAGGACTCTGCCGGACACATTGTTGCCCAGGCTGCCTCCGCACACGTAGATGAGGCCGTGGGCCTCCACAGAGCCGTGGCTGCACCGAGGCTGCAACATGCTGGGCTTGTTCTGCCACGTCTCCGTCCGAGTGTCGTAGCACTCAAACAGGTTCAGCGCCGAGCTTCCTAAAACAAACAGAATGCAAACAAACTTGACTTAAGGACATCTGAAACTCCAGTGTCGTCATCGTAATGGTTAAGCTCAGGTGTTGACTTTGAGAACTTGATCATCAGGAACGTGCATTTCTTGTCTGCTTGTCTAAAAGGATCTACTGTCTACGATCTACTATCTGCGTCACCAATGCTAATAAGGACAATAACAAAATGATCACTAAAAACTATTTTTTAAGAAGTATATGATGTGCATTTTTGTACCTGCAAGAGTTACTTGTTTCATAGCTGTTGTGATGGTATAAATTTTTAAACAGGATAATTTTACCACAATTTTAATTTTTGAGGTTATTTACCATTATTGAAAAGCTGTGCGTGCTTTGTACTTGGACACCCATATAAACATCTCTAAACTCAATTTTTTCACTTAAATAAATAAACGTTTTATACTAATAACAAATTTTCATGCTTTTCCTGGGGTCACACCACCTAACCTGATAAACTGAACCAGCCTAACCAATAAATAAAAAATGAATTTTGTTCCAATGTTTCTAAAAGGGCTACCAGTCTTGACTTTGCACCATTGAGGTCTTATTTATGATGCAATACTTGCCCACTGTTTCTTAAAAAAATTTCACAATATATCCTTTTTTGTCAGTTGTGCTGTGTGACATTTGAAGAATTCATGTCAGAATGTAATATTTAATAGTGAATGCCAAAAGTTTTGAAATTTTTGTGTAAACCATGGCAAACTATATGTTCATAAAATATTTTATATAACAAAATTACATTGCATGTGCTTTTTTTAACAGTTTACTACATATGGTTGGATGGTTGCATCACCTTAAACTTTGGGAAGCATGAATGAATTTTACTTTGATGCATTGGAAATGTATTCTCCTAAAAGAGGCTTTGTAGAATAATATGATGCGTCAAGTATTCACTAAATTGTTATGAAGGAAAATAATGGGCTTCATGTCATTGATCCATACGCATGTCCCTTTGAGATTGCTTAACAATTCGACAGATTTTGAGGCAAGTGTGTGATGATTTAGGCATTGCTTAATGCCAACATTGGAGACCGTGTGTTGGCTGACTGACTCCATTTGGGGTAATGCGGGAAATTATTAGTAAAATTATTATTTTCAGCAAACTTTTCCTTTACGCTTTCCCCTCTAAACCTAATGAACTTGTGAGACTTGTTCATGTCTTATGTTCTACTATTAAACATGACATTTCAGCTGCTCGTGTCAAAATTAGCTTTGGCTTTAATTTCCTACACAAACTCACCCACTTCTGATCCTCCTGAGGTGTAGATCTTGCCTTTGGAGGCGCAGGCTGCCAGGCTGTCTCTGGGGTTGGGAGGTCCCAGTTTAGAGTACCAGCTGTCCTTTACCACGTTATAACAGTCCATTCTTTTGATGGGGAAGAGCTGAGAGCCTCCCAGGATGTACACCACATTGTCCCAGAAAACGGCTGCGGCATCCCGCCGTTTCTCGAAGGGACAGCGGATGTCGGTCCAGCTGTAGTCCTGAAACAGCCACAAGTACACAGCTTTTTCCAGCGCTATTGAATTTCATAAGCTATCACTGAACTTTTAAAGTAGAAAATGAAAACCTCACAACTCCAATTTGACTTATTAATAACTTTAATAATTAGATTTAAAACATTACTTCATAATCGGATGAATCATAACTGGATTTATGTTGTTATCTGATCATTTAAATCGTCATGTAAATAGCAAACTTTGATTTAGATCAGAGTAAGGTCTAGTAATCCGACTACGAAATCTGATAAAGAGGCTGGATTTTAGCTCAGTAATCAGATTTCTCAGTGCATATAAACTCTTACTCTGATTTCTTTTGGATTTCTCGTCTGCACATGCGTGAACACAGACGGCGGTACCGGAAATAAGCAAGCAGCGCTGCCACGAGATGCAGTAAAACACTTTTGGGGTGACATTAAAACCAACTACATGTTTGATGAAATGAATGATTTAAATATTCTTCATCTTCTAGATGATGTATGTTCATATTTTGAGGTAAAGTGGTGCAGAGTTTAAAAAAAAAATAATAATAAATAAAGCAGCGGCATGAAGTTTGAGTTATATGTCACGTCTTGTTCTGTGACCTTATTGGCTGGTTGTAAAGCAGAAATCTGATCACTGCCTGACTCATATAGACACATTTCTTTTGTTTTCACATTATCTGATTACTCAAGTGCATGTAAATGCGTTGATCGAATTACTGACAAAATCTGGTGCATATAAACGCATTCAATGTCAGCCTCTTATTGATGCTTTTGTTTTGTGTTTTTTGTGTTTTACAGTCTTGCAGCGCAACACCACTTTGACGTTTTCGACTTTAAGCCTAAAATCTCTTAAAACATTTTTATTTTGAAATTTTAAAATGTGCTCCTCGCAGAAAAGGTGGCTTCAGCACTTTTGCTGTATCAAATATATTTTGTTAATGTTTTTAAGGGCTCATATCCTACTTTTGTCTTTTCTTCTTTCCCCCTGAAAAGATGAAATGTAACAATTTTTTTTTTTATATGATCATTTTCCAACCACTCTTTATCCCCCAGGATTAAACAGGCTGTTTATGTCACTGTCCATTTAAGACTGATACATGCTAATGAGTTCTGCTTTGATGTATTGTGCCAGATTCAGAAAACAGCCTGAACCATTCCTTATAACTTCAGCAGGAATGATCGGGGCTAAACTGCTGTAGGCTGAAATGGCAGACATGTGCAGATTGGTTGGCTTTCAGGACATTTCAAAAACAATTAAAAACGGGCTGTTTTAGCAGTGTAGCTCCCATATACAGACTGTAATGAATAAGTTTTAAAACTTCAACAGTGTTTACATCTAGACTTATTTCAGAAAAGAGAGGAAAATTCAGTTATCTGTGATACAGGCCCTTTAACAAGTTAATGAATGAATACAGAAACAACAAATGGGTTGCCTGCCACTGAACCATACACCAATCAGGCATAACATTCTGACCACCTCCTTGTTTCTCTGCTCATTGTCCATTTTATCAGCTCCACTTACTATATAGGTGCACTTTGTAGTTCTACAGTTACAGACTGTAGTCCATCTGTTTCTCTGATACTTTGTTAGCCCCCTTTTACCCTGTTCTTCAGTGGTCAGGACCCCCATGGACCCTCACAGAGCAGGTACTATGTGGGTGGTGGATCATTCTCAGCACTGCCGTAACACTGACGTGGTGGTGGTGTGTTAGTGTGTGTTGCGCTGGTCTGAGTGGATCAGACACAGCAGTGATACTGGAGTTTTTAAACACCTCAGTGTCACTGCTGGACTGAGAATAGTCCACCAACCAAAAATATCCAGCCAACAGCGTCCTGTGGGCAGCGTTCTGTGACCACTGATGAAGGACTAGAGCATGACCAACACAAACTGTGCAGCAGCAGACGAGCTATCGTCTCTGACTTTACATCTACAAGGTGGACTGACAAGGTAGGAGGGTCTAATAGAGTGGACAGTGAGTGGACACAGTGTTTAAAAACTCCAGCAGCACTGCTGTGTCTGATCCACACCACCACCACGTCAGTGTTACTGCAGTGCTGAGAATGATCCACCACCCAAATAGTACCTGCTCTGTGAAGGTCCATGGGGGTCCTGACCACTGAAGAACAGGGTAAAAGGGGGCTAACAAAGTATGCAGAGAAACAGATGCACTACAGTCTGTAATTGTAGAACTACAAAGTGCACCTATATAGTAAGTGGAGCTGATAAAATGGTCAATGAGCGTAGAAACAAGGAGGTGGTCATAATGTTATGCCTGATTGGTGTAATAAGCACTGAAAAAAAAATATTTACCACTGAGCTGATTTACATTATGAGTAATTTCAGTAAGTTCATTTCTGCTCTTGTACAGCGGCTGTGTGGAGCTGTGAAGTTTTCATCTAACAGTGACTATGAGTCATAATGAGAGCTGGCAGGTGGCACCTTGGGGTTGAAGTAGCGGCAGGACTGTGGCTGTGAGCCGCCGAACAGCGCGATGCGGAAGTCGTGCTTCTTGCGGCGCGGGCGGCTGCTCTCCCCCAGTTCCTCTCTGTCCTCAGGGGACAGGAGATGGTAACGCATTCCGCCTGACACACATACAGAAGAGACAGCAGAAATAGACATCACCATCCTCAGCTCAAAACCATCAATCAGAGTTCTATTAGATCTGATACAACACAAAATATGATGCTATTTTCCCTACACTCACAGTAAAGGCTTTATTTATGAGCGATCAGTCCAGAAGGGGCTACTCACAGATGACCATTTTGAGGCACTCGGGGTTGTCCTGGATCAGAGGCTCTGCCTGTACGGTCTTACTGAGGAAGTTCTTGGAGACGAGGGGGAACCGTACTTTGCTCAGTATGTCCACGATGTACTGCTGCCTGTTCATCACGTCATACTTCAGCCACCGCACAGCCGCGTCGTAAATCTGCATGAACTCATACACATACAGATCTGAACAGGTATTTCCCACTGTGCATGATTAGAGAGAGAGACTGCACAAATCCACTTATGCTGTCAGTTACAAACTGCATTTAAGTAAGATCAGACCATACTAAACGTACTCGGTGTAAGAATGTGGATTTGATTGACTCGTTCTCGATGGACCAGTACAGCAGACAACTCAGACAACTACCAGGCTAAGAAGCTGCAGTAAGTAGCCATAAATCCATCAAGTTTGCATTAGTTCTTCCACTCATACGCTGCTTTAATGCCCTTTTAATGCCCATTCATTTATGGACCATTCTACTGAATTAGTTCAAACTGCTGTCCCACAGTAACTATTCAAACCTCTTTAACTCCTTGGAACCACCGGTGGCTCCAAAACGCACTGTCATATTCTTTACTGCATAACTTTCATATTTTATAAGCTTCATTCAAAAGGTAGGGGTCATATGAGAGCTGTAACTGTCTTCTTTCCAGTCAAATAGATGGGTAATGTAGTTTTAAACCCTTATAATAAAAGAAGCTGAACTCTATTTTTTTGTCTACTGAAAGTCGACCCATTTTTCCACAAATCTGAGCTACAAACTGGATCTCAGATGGCGTCTCTTCAGTGATCTGCTCTGTAAAAATTCTTTTTGTAAAATAATATGAAGAGTGTCTAAGATTTTTGGCTTTCAGCAGTAAATTGTAAGCATATAGCAATATGAGTGATCATAAAACACATGTTCTGTTCATTTGAGGGGAGCTTTAACACCCAAAATTTAGTTATTTCATGCAGTTACTGAATAATTTGCCTTACGATTTGGTCATGTAAATTCAGATGGAAAAACCAAAATATACCCTGGAGAATAAGAGGTTAAAAACTATTTAAAAATAGTTTAACTTAAGTATTTAGACCAATGATTATGTTATGATCTATATAAACCCAAAGCATTACCTGACATAGGCTGAATATATACAAAATCATCATGCGCTTGTGAAAATAATATCAATGTTTTTGTATAAAAATAGTTTAGATTTATTTTAAAGTGAAGTTCAAAGATTTACCATGAGTTTAAAAAATGCTGCTTCACATTTTAATGTCACCAAGTTTAATATGCAGGCAGAGCCTTATTTTAGCCACGCCCCTGCACTGTAGCACAGGAAGTGAGACTGAATCCCTGTCCTTCATGGCCACACTGTGAGCAGCTACATCTCATTGTTTTGAAGTAAATATGTCCAAAGTCTGAAAATCAGTGTGGAACATTAAGAATTATCACCACATTCTATTCCTTTATTTCATTACTTACGTTTTTTTTTATTTTATCCTTATTTGATCAGTTATTTATTAAGTTACTATACTGCTACAATTTTAATGGTTTATTGATTTTTTTTATTTTGTAATATTAAATTTACTATTATGATTATTTTATGCTTTATTTTAGCATTTGGTATGATTTACAAACCAATTTTTCAATCCCTGTTTTCTGTATTGGCTCGGCTACACTGTAAACGAGGGTCTCCTTCAATGTACTCCGAGTTTAAATAAAGGTTGACTGATTTTTTTTTTGTGTTTTAATGAAAAGTATTATGATTTTATGTGTATACAACTGTTCAAATCTGTGTCTGCTAGTCATGTACTGGCTAGTGTTTTGGAGTTCTGCTCAAAATTAGAATAAATTGTCACTACCGAAACATTTGGTAAAGGTTTGGTAGCGTTATGATCGTTTTGGTAGTGACAAAATGGATTGTTTCAATGAAATAAACATTATTAAAGTATACGGTCACTCAAAGCAAAAGAATTTAAGACTGAAATCCAAGTCAGTAAGTCCAAAACGTACTTTTAACTGACTTGGACTTACTTACTTTGAAACAATTTGGTAAAATGATACAGATATTGTTTTGTTGCATTTATTGTATATTCTGCACTCATTTGACACTGTTGTGTATCTGCACTCTATGTAGTTCTGTGTAATGTGCTGCTGTTTTGCATCCTGAGGAGTGAAGAACATCAATTTGTTCTAATGTATATGAGTTGTACTGAGGAATGAAAGACCACTTGACTTGAATGTAAACCCAAGTTAGGTTGGTGCTAATGTAATATAGTGATTCCCATAGAGCTGCTAACAAAAATTAGCATTATGTTAATGATAACAAAAATAAGACAAAAACAAAGATTTTCAAAAGAAAAACACTTTGCATGAAGAAAGATAAGTAAGCAAATCCTCCTGCAGCTGGAGAGCTGGACTCACCTGATCCTCGGCCCTGACGGTCAGCGTGTCCTGATGGAGAAGATGTGTGACCTGCTTCACATCCAGCTGCAAGAACTCATCCAGTTTGTACACATCTGTAAAGTGCTGATAGATGAATTCATCCGCTGCAGTCTTCAGCTCCGGACAGTTAAGGCACTCTGCCAGCGCACTGATGCCTGCAGGGTCGAGGCAGAAGATATTTAAAATTAGAGATTGTTTTAATTCTATACTTTTTGTTTATACATCTGCCGATGCTGATACTACTGCTGATACGTAAACATTGATAGAATTTAGAAACTGGGACTAGATCCACCTTGATTAGCATTACAAATAAATATATAATTCAATTTCTATGAAGTTACAAATGCAGTAAAAGTTGCAGATATTTTAGTGCAGTAGTCCAGCAGCACCTAAACGCTCTTCCAGAGTACAACAAATACATCATCAAATATCTGTCCAATGCTGATTTTTTTGGGGAAATATCTGCTTATACAAGTATGATTACAGTATCATCATGCATCCCTATTCAGAACATTTTTTGGATTTACTTATTGAGTGCGTTTACATGCACTCAATAATCCGATCATAATCAGATTTCTGCAGTTATCTGATTATTCAAATGGTCACGTAAACACCGCACTCTGATTTCTTAGATCAGAGTAGTAATCCTATCAAGACATCCAATAAAAAGAGCTGGATTTTAGCTCAGTAATCAGATTTCTCAGTGCATGTGAACTCTTACTATGATTTCTTTCAGATTTCTCAGTCTGCACATGTGCGAAAACAGACTGCTGTACTGGAAATAAGGGAGCAGTGTTGCCGCAAGATGCAGCAAAACACTTTTGGAGCGACACTGAAACCAAATACATGCTTGACGAAATGAAGGATTTAAATTCTTCATCTTTTAGGTGATGTATGTTCATATTTTCAGGTAAAGTGATGCGATGTTTAAAAAAAAAAAAAAAAGCTGCGTCATGAAGTTTGAGTTTTACATTATGTTTACGTCACGTCTTCTTCTGTGAGTTTATTGGCTGGTTCCAAAGCAGAAATCTGATTACTGTAAGTCTCATGTAGACCTGGAGTTTCCTCATTATCTGATTACTCAAGTGCATGTAAATGCGTTGATCAAATTACTGACAAAATCTGATTTTCTGTAGTTATCGGATTATTGGTGCATGTAAACAAACTCACTGTTTTTTTTGTCGGGTGCCCCCCTTAAATAACAAGCAAAACGGGCAGGTTTTAGACCGAGTCTCACCAAGACAGTTAGTTGCGTCTACTTGCTCTTTCAGAAAGTCCACACACATTTTCTTCACTGGTTCTATCTGGTACTGGTTAGCGGCATTGAGGAGAGACTGGACATTGTTACTGTTGACAGAAATGCTGGAAAAAACAAAACAATAATATCATCCAGTCTGATCCTTTATTGTCCTAATGAGAAAAAAATTATTCTTTAAGAAGCTAAAACAAAGGTAGAGTTGGGTGAAATGGCAAGAATATAATATCATACTACTTCACGATACACACACTTAAAAATGATGGTTCTTCTGGGGTTCTTTAGTAAAGAAAATGGTTCTATATAGAACTACGAACACTTAAAAACGATCAGCTTTGCATGATTAAAGCGTTCTTTGCATCATGAAAGGGTTCTTCAGATTGATGAAGAATGTGTTGAATATGGTTCTATATAGAACCTTTTTGAAAAGGGTTCTATATAGCACCAAAAAAGGTTCTTCTACTGTTACGATGTCAAGCTTGTAATAACAGAAGAACGCTTTTTGGTGCGATATTGTCAAAAATATTTTTTTCTATACAGAGCCTTATTCAACACATTCTCCATCAGTCTGAAGAACCCTTTCATGATGCAAAGAAGCCTTTTATCATGCAAAGGATTCTTTGAGTGTTCATGGTTCTATTTGGTACCATGTCCTTTACTAAAGAACCCCATTTTTTCTGACATTTGATAAGTTGGAACAGACAAAGAGCCAAAAACTATGAATACAATGATCTGTATTCAACATTTACCAAACTGCAGTGCAGTAAACCCAATTAAACAGGACTAATTATGCTCTCTTTTTGATGAAACATGCAGCTGGGAAGTGTATATGGGTACGATATCCACGATGTATTCAGAAAACAGAGATATAATTAAGCAAAAAAACAGGAGAGGGAGTGTATTATCGCGAAATAACATAATTCGGTTCTATTGCTTTTACAGAACAGTTAAATAAATAAAGTAAGAAATTAATAAACTGGGCCTTGAACGCGGCATTTAACATGTTTTAATATTAGCAGTTCCTTCTACCAAATTATAGTTCCTTAACAAGCAGCTTGTTGCTACGTCAGAGTAACGGACTCTGCTCACTCACTGCACAGCCGGCAGTTTGTTCTCCAGCTCCTTACACTAAGTTTCCAAACTGTCATCACCACTGAGCAGGTTTTCAGTCGGCCGCTGTGACAGAAGAACAGCTAAACAACCTGGAATGAACCGAATACCATTCGCCAAACGTGTAGTCTGATCTTCAGAGTCTGACCAAATCAGACTGAGCCATAAAACTGCCACAATATCAAGTTTAGCTCAGTTTTGTCATTTTTTGCCAGATCAGTATTAATGTTGTTTTGTTCCAGCCAGTCTGTAAAGCATCTTACAGCCCATTTACATTGGCGAATGGTATTGGGTTCATTTCTGGCTGATTCCAGGTTGTTTAGGTTCTTCTGTCACAGCTGCCGACTGAAAAGCTGCTCAGTGGTGATGACAGTTTGGGAATTTAGTGTCGTCTCATCTTCAGAGTCTGACCAAATCGGCTGAAAACACTGACAGCCAGCGTGAACTATATTGTCAATCTTTGCTTTACCGGGCGGTGTAGACAAATTCCACCAGCAGCTCAATGATCTCAGGCTCTGCACCTCCAAGCTCCACCTCATGGTTTGTGGCCTCCATCATGTTGGCTGTGGCAGAGGTGGAAAAAATACCAGGCAGGTTAGCATCCTCTGGTTTTAGTCAGTCAAACAATCCTGCATCACTGACTGCTTTCAACAGCTTAGAGCCTGCTAAAGGGGAATTCCACTGATTTTTCAAATTTCATGCAACAACCGAGATGTAAAAGTTGTTCAGATGGTTTTGATGTGAAATGGTTCAGAAACTTTCTGAGATTTCTTTACAGTGGTGGTGATAGAAACCACGGGTCACAATGACAAAACAAATATATTCGTTTTATTTGCTATCCAAAGCAACCACTGAACCAACAAATGTCTTCAATATTCTGTAATACTGATTATGTTAAAATGGAGGTAAATCACCAAAGATTTGTTTAATTGGGTACTATTTTTCAGACTGTGTATTATTAACTGTTTCATGTAATAACTTTATGTGAGGGAGCTTTTAGAGGCATTAAACTCTTCACATGTCTGGTTCCTATCAGCACCACTGTGAACATTTCTGACTCCTTTTTGTAGATTGGAGCATTTCACACCAAACCACTCTGAATGACTTTGTTTATATCTCAAAGATTTAATCATGCACACATTAAGATAAATCAGTGGAATTCCCCCATAATAATTTCATATAGCCAACCTTAGCCCGCTTCCTCCAGTCACGACGTTCCAGCCATAACGTAACTGTAGTCAAGTAAGGATTTCACTTAGAACAATGAAAAATGCCACACAAATGCAGCTCTTACTGGTGAACATGAGGTTGAAGAAGTGGCTCGCAGCCGCCAGGACCACCCTGTGTGCGAGGATATGTTTCCCTTGCACCACGAGTATCACGTCACACAGAATCCCCTAAAAAGCAAAGACTTACGTTTAGGCCTGTTGAAAGCCGCACTATGTAGCTTTTTGGGATTTGGAGCCCTCTCTGGTAGAAATGTGTAACTGCATGCAACGTGCGCAAGAATACTTTGTAACACGGGCTGTGCTTCAGTTCCCTTCCCGAGCGGATGGATCTGACGAGCGTGTTAAAAGAGAATTCAAAGAGAACTTTACTCAAAACTTGGTGAAGGACGTGTCTTCAGAGGATGCGAGTGAACGTACAATGTACTACTGTCATCATATCTTCGTAAGTGTAATGTTGATTTTGCACTTGAGCCCTAAACATCGAGCCGGACCTTCTTTTTGAGTCTGTGTGTGTGTTGTTAATATGTAAAGACGTGTGACGTGGTGTGGAAAACCCCTGACCCGACTCCTCTGACTTTTAAATAATTATTTCAGGCTTTACTGGCTGACCTGCAGCAGCACACGCTCACCATATTTCAGCCTGTTTTTATTCTCCTGACTCAGTAAAGCTACTTATTTCATTTTCATAAAAACTGCTATAAAATCTTACATAGTGCTACTTTAAACAAGGCAGTCACAATGTCAGTGGTACTGTCAATCAAACTCAAGATATGAATTTAGAGATATACTTTTAGAACAGAGATCATCAGTTTGACATGCTTCTGTACACTCCTTGAAAAAAGTTACTATAGTACTAAAAGGTTACTTTCTCTGAGCTATATATTTAAACCATTTTAAAGGTTCTTTAAAGAACCATATACAGCGAGGGGAAAGAAGTAGTCCATGTTTTTGTTATTTAATGAACTTTCAGTGCCTATACCTACTTCAAAAGTTGGCAATTACCATTGTCAATTCCTCAAGGTTATGAGGGTCCCCCTTAATTTAAAAATGCATTTTCAATGGTGTTCAAGGCAGGAGACTGTCTAGAACATGCACGCACCTTTACCTTGTTTCATTATACACACACACCCACACACATATGTGATCAATCAGGCATAGCATCATGACCACTTCCTTGTTTCTACGCTCATTGTCCATTTTATCAGCTCCACTTACTATATAGGTGCACTTTGTAGTTCTACAGTTACAGACTGTAGTCCATCTGTTTCTCTGATACTTTGTTAGCCCCCTTTTACCCTGTTCTTCAGTGGTCAGGACCCCCAAGGACCCTCACAGAGCAGGTACTATTTGGGTGGTGGATCCTTCTCAGCACTGCAGTAACACTGACGTGGTGGTGGTGTGTTAGTGTGTGTTGCGCTGGTCTGAGTGGATCAGACACAGCAGCGCTGCTGGAGTTTTTAAACACCTCAGTGTCGCTGCTGGACTGAGAATAGTCCACCAACCAAAAATATCCAGCCAACAGCGTCCTGACTAGAGGATGACCAGCACAAACTGTGCAGCAGCAGATGAGCTATCGCCTCTGACTTTACATCAAGGTGGACTGACAAGGTAGAAGTGTCTAATAGAGTGGACAGTGAGTGGACACAGTGTTTTAAAACCAGCACAACACACACTAACACACCACCACTATATATATATATATATATATATATATATATATATATATATATATATATATATATATATATATATATATATATTACACACAAATCAGTGCTGCTGGACTTTTTAAACACTGTGTCCGCTCACTGTCCACTCTATTAGACACTCCAACTTGTTGGTCCACCTTGTAGATGTAAAGTCAGAGACGACAGCTCATCTGCTGCTACACAGTTTGAGTTGGTCAGCCTCTAGTCCAGGGATGCACAACTCCAGTACTGGGGGGCCAGTGTCCAGCACAGTTTGGAGGTTTCCCTACTCAAACGCACCCGCCTAACCGGGCAGTTAACAGAAGAGTGTAATCAGGTGTGTTGGAGCAGGTAAATCACCAAACTGTGCTGGACACCATCCTTCCAGGACCAGAGCTGTGCACCCCTGCTCTAGTCCTTAATCAGTGGCCACAGGACAGGACATTCTGAATACTTTTCAGTTCATATTCAGAAATACAAAAGACGTGTGTAAATTTAAAGTATATATATATAAAATAATGCACTGGAAGTTTAAACATTAAACAACAAAAAACAAAGTCTATACATTTTTGTTTTGCGCAGAAGGTTCTCCATCAAACAGAAGAGGTCATTTAACCATTCTAACTTTTCAGAGAACCATTCTGATGCTCACATGGTCGGCTGAGACGTCACGGTTCTATATCCAGTGCTTTTACACTAGAACTCTTATTTAAGAACCACGTTTTCAGGCTGTCACGTGACAGTCACGTGAGTAATGTGTTTATAATATGACAGACACTATTTTTTTATAGGAAACACACGAAATAAAATTCCAGTTTAATGTTTAATGTTCATTTTGACCTACTGTTAAAAGGCAGAGTAAAAAATAAAGGATGTTCAAGGCAAAAAACTGTAAATTGTAAATTTATGCTGATGAATTCTGAGTAACTGCTGGAGGAGGACAGTGACTCAGTGACTTGTCTACTCTGCAAAATGTAAAAATGAATTGTAAATCAGTTCTCATGTAATAAACTGAGTTATTTTTCCTTTTGTACAGAGACATTAGACCTGTGAGTGTCTGCTGGGATTCGCCGATATTTCTGTAAAAGTACGAGCAGCCAGAACGGAACTGCAGCACCATTTAAGGTGGAACGGGAAAATTGGAATACGAAGCCAGAATGCAACGTTAACTGCTGCACCATTTAAGGTGGAACGGGGAAACCTGAACATACATGAGTTACTGATGTAAATGTGTTAAAGCGTTAGCCTACCTGCTTTCTCAAGTTATTCATGACTCCCATGATGTTTGACAGCAGTCTGTATTCCTCCTTAGACGCAATTTTCTTCTCGTTTTTCTTTTTAGACCCTACGGGTTTCTCGCTGGAAGGGGAGGCCATCCTCTCCATTCCTGGACAAACACAAACTAATGAAGCTTAAAACAGAGTCAGACCTAAAACCAGCTAAAACAGACAGACAGGCCGGGCTGAAGCTGGAAACTGAAAAAAATGGCCACCATGTTAACAAAGTCTGTCAAAATAAAAGTAACACCGCGTTGAAAGATCCCGCCTCATGCTTAAAGGAGAATTCCACCGATTTTTCAAAATTTCTGCATAATTCAGTGGATGAGATATGAACAGAGCGGTTTGGCGTGAAATGCTCTGTTCTAGAGGACTTACTGAATCAGAATTGTTCACAGTGGTGGTGATGGGAACCAGACGTCCACCTCTAAAAGCTCCCTGACAGAAAGGTAATACATGAAATGGTTATGAGTATGCCTGATGACTTTTTGTATTCATTTTTTGTATTTATTTTAATATTTTGCACTCACACACCCACACACACACACACACACACACACACATATAGCCAGTATATATGCTCAGCCAGTAGTTATACCGTATACCAATCAGATGTCCAGGACATAGTTCTGTATTAGAATAAATGCAGGAATGGAATATTCTGTAACAGTTGTGCTATTATTTGTTAGATGTTATGGGTTGACCTGATAATAGAATGTAATCTGAAAATTTGCCTATGACTATTTCACTGCTCCACACACACACACACACACACACACACACACACACACACACATATACACCGATCAGGCAGAACATTATGACCACCTCCTTGTTTCTACACTCATTGTCCATTTTATCAGCTCCAGCAGCACTGCTGTGTCTGATCCACTGCAGAGAGAGTAAGTGGATCTGATAAAATGGACAATGAGCGTAGAAACAAAGAGGTGGTCATAATGTTATGCCTGATCGGTATATATATATATATATATATACCGAAGGTAAATTGTCCTGATGTACTAGTATGTAATGCACACTAGATGTCAGTCTTACCTACAGTTAATGATAGACTGGTGGAGAAAGATCTTTTTGCTGGTAGCAGTCTTAATCTCTATGGATTTAGTGTTTCTCATTCTGTGGAATCATTAATAATATTTAGAAAACAAATCCCTTGCCTTCAGTGTTAACATGCAGGTTGACCATGTGCAGATTTGGCCACTGTAGTTACTGTACTTACCTTTTGCTTTTTCATGCATAAAACAATTTGTGTTTATATGCTTCCAGTTCCTAAATCCACATTATGGTCCTCCCCACATTTATCTCTAAAATACCGAATGCATCGTTGTTAATACAGCACTCGGTTTTTGAATCAAAGTACCAAAGTGATGAGATTTATTTGTGTGAACTGTGGAAGAGTGTTTGGGAATGTTTTGGTGGCTCAGGATGGATCAGCATTCGGCAAACCCCTCACAGTCAGTCTGACTTTACACAGAAATTTTCATGCAACTTTGGTTGCTTGAAACCTACATGAAACTAAATTGCACTTGAGTTGCATAATGCAAAGCGTCCTGCAACTCACTTGAAACTCAGCTGCAACAGTTGCAGCCTGCTCAATTTCATGAAACAAGTTTGATGAGACGGTCAATAAAAATGCCAGTGACGCATCATGTAATCATGTCGAGTGATGAAGTTTCACACAACTGATGTCACTGGATCAGTGCACAAGAAAATAAAATGAAGACGGTTTATTGGGTGGTTGAAAAGCACTTCTCACCTGACCGATTCAATGCTGGCAGTTTTTCATGTTGTCAGTTTTCTGAGCCATGACAACAAATGTGAGTTTCTTAAAGCTGCTGTTTCTGTAACCAGCTGTGTTAGCTAGCCAGCTAACACTAACAGCTGTTTAAACTTCTGTTTTTGCTTTATTTTTTTGTTTTGCTTTTGTGATCTGCATAGATAGATTCATTGTCTCCTCTCTTGATGAACCCTAATTTTACACAGAACTCACAAAACAACAGATAAACAACCTCAAATATATGGTAAAGAACCCATAGATAGATAGATAGATAGATAGATAGATAGATAGATAGATAGATAGATAGAAAAAAGCAATGACAGCTGGAAAAAGCATACAAAGATGATAAAATGTTGTGAATATGAAAATTATACCTATACAATTGCAAGAGTTGCATGCAACTTTGTTTTTAAATTGCGTCATGTAACTGTCACAGAAATGATGTTGCAGGCAGCTCACAACATGCAACTAATTGCATGGAAGTTTCACCTTGCAAAGTTAAGGTAATTGGTTAATCTGGGATTTCGTCTGGTTTTTTTGAGGTTCATAATTCTCTGAGGTCTACACAGAGGCCAGGCTGACATCTAGTCTCATCTGATGTCACCTTAATCACTGCAGCAGAAGTCAGAAGCCTGTCCATTAGGAGAGCTGGCCAGGGGACATCCTACTGAGTCTGTACCTGTCTACAGCCAGGAAGCCGGCTTTGCAGGAAGAGAGACGGTGATATAAGGACAGTAACAGAGAAAAGTGAAATAGCAAAGAGTGCTCTGACATCCTGATCCTAACTATTTCACTGAGGTACCAAACTGTCAGCATTTACTTTATAAACAGCGTCTGCAGCAACATATCATACTGTACTGAATTCTAGCGCGGCGTATCGAACTGCATCTTTGTATGTTAGCTTGGGGCTAACGTACTGGCTGAAAATGGAAACGTTTTCAAGCACTCTTTATTTTTGCTGTATAGAAGAAATAGTTGAGACACTGCTGTATCATATCAAATCGAATTCTGTATTCCTTACACCCTTGGTGAAAATGTGTGGAAAAATCTGTAAAGGTCAACTGCATATTAGAATAAATTTTACAAAACTTCTTCCAATATAAGCACAGAATGCACTACTGGAATGCACTGTTGGAAAAGCATAGTGCAATACTGCAGGGCCATGATGGATCTGAACAACATAGCTCATAATAGTGGTGTAACAATATGTAGATTTCAGAATACACTCTCAGAAAAAAGGTATAAAACTGTCACTAGGGCAGTGCCTCTTTTCAAGGTGGTACTTTCAAGGGTACATCTCAGTACCTTTAGTCAGGGAACATAACTGTACCAAAATCCACTGAAATGATATTCTCTAAGCTGTACTGACTCCACACACCCCGTCTCGTCTCCAGGACTTTTATTTTATTGCTCTGTTTTAAAACATTCGGTTATGAAAAGGTACAAATACGAACTTTTCACCTGGAAAAACTTATTTAAGGTTCACAACTGGACCTTAAAACCACTGCTGTACCTTTGAGGGAACATTTACTTTGTTTGTGCCTTGATGAATGAAAAATGTCCCTGAACAGAACCTTTATTTCTATCAGTGTACGATACATTTTCAATACAGACTTGGATCCAGAATGGATAACCGGAACAACTTATTTTCCTAGAAGACATAAAACAATTAAAAAAGAATATCAAAAAGTGCAAAAAAGCAATATCTATGTTACAGTGCGGAAGCCTCAGAATGTACTGCTCAGTTCTTATGAACGGGGTGACCATCGACTGCAAATATTAAAAATTCCTAAGACATATAAGACTTTGATTATTAATCAAAGTCAGATTGGAAAGAAATCCATAATATAAAAAAGCTAACACTTTAGCCACAAGCTAATGCAATACAAAGCCATAATATGAGACGCTGCAATACAATATGATATGTTGCTGCATATGTTATTTTCAAAGTAAATGCTGAAAATTTGATGTAGTCAAATTGTCTTAGGTCAAAGTTTGTTGTTTTTATATCACATTGTTAGAAAATCTTTGCTTCATCTTCGTGGTGCCCTCTGCATTTTGTGCAATGTGCCTGCTCACTGTGTTCGACATCACATTTGGTGATGTTAGCTCCCCCTACTGGGGAGTTTGTGAACATTTTTGAGTCTTTTTTGAGTCTTTTGTGTGGATATAGAGACTTTTGAAAATGCTGCATGTGTGGCTGAAGATTTTTTTATGGGGAAAACTGTGTTCTGGCAAGGCCTAAACCAGGGGTTGGCAACCTAAATGTTAAGAAGAGCCATTTTGACCTTTTGACAAAAATCAGTCCATCTTGGGAGCCACAAGATTTAATATCCATTTTACTGAAGTGACGTTTTATCATCTTGGCTGTAAATATATCTCAGTATGTGCTAACGTCCTAGTATAGACCGAAAACGCAGACTTACTTTGCTCTGCTTTAAGCTTCAGCTCAGCTATGGCCGCTTTTCACACATCTCAGACAGGAAACTCTTCCTCAAAAGTAGAATAGTTTCTTGTAAAATGTCTCTCAACGTTCAAGTTTTTACAAGGCTGAAGTCGCTTCTCATTCACCAGCCTATTGTTTGAATTTTCCTGTTCCACCTTAAATGGTGCCTGGTGTGCCAGAATTTAACTGATGCACCTTTTAAGGTGGAACGGGAAAATTCAAACAAGAAGCTGACTTCAGCTTTGTGACTTTTTAGTGTTTTACAGTTTCTCATCGCAGATTAAACATATCAGGAAACCAGCTGAGTGCTTATAAATGCAAATAAGTCCATTCATCTCTAATTATCGATGTTTGTCTTAAATCTTTTTCTTCTTTGCCATTTCTTTAGCTACTAGCTTGGCAAGATTGATGTCTGTGTCGCTGTGTTACCAGCAGTCTGCATGCCAACCTTCAGGGTTAAAGGGTGAATTAGCAGCGTTTAAAACCGTTTATGAATTAACTCCAGTGTTTAAGACCATTTATTGTTGGAAGAGTGTATTAGAAGGCTCAGCAAGACTTCATGTTACTCTAACATAGGATTATTTCATTTTTAACCTAAGAATCTAATTCTGCTGTTGAGCCGCAACAGGGCAGTAAAAGATCCGCATGTGGCTCCAGAGCTGCATGTTGCCGAAACCAATAGTATAGTTCTGAGAGCTACGCAGTGGAGTTTTTATTAATCATGTTCAGGAACAACATGCATTGTTTTGTATAGAACAATTGAAACAGTTCCCGATATCACATGAAATCAAATTGTATTTGTTTCACAACACGTATTATTGCGTGACCCCCATATTGCAACATTGGTGTCAGTATTGAGCCAATATCGGCAGAAAATGCTGGAACAGATCTCAGAGGAAAAAAGGAATGAATGTGACCCGGTCCTGTAACAAATCTGTCCTGAAACAGCACTCACTCCCACTGTGTTATGCAGTGT